TCATGTACAGGTACAAACACCCAATGATAAATGTAAACAAATTGTATACCTAAAATGTACCAATAAAATTAATTTTTTTAAAAAAGTTAAAATGACAAATTTTATGTATATTTTATTATAATAAGGCTGATGATTTTATACATGAAAACACTGTGGGGGTCATTATTGCCCTGTGCCCAGCACAATGCAGGTGCTTCAATAAAGCAAGTGATGTATAACTTAATGAAGGCAAGCACTGTAAACATCAAAGAAAGCTGAAGAAAGACATTCAAGAGTGAACATGAAATATTTACTTAAGAATTGCTTTGCAGAAATTTCCAAGAGGTAAAACAGGCAAGATGGAGAGGGGCGAGGTGCCAAAATGTGAGACCCCCACTAGCACACTAGATGCCCAGGCCAACAGCGACAGGAGCACAGCAGAAGCAATCTTCCGAGCCCTCTCCTTCCTTGCCCCCAGGGCCTCCTACAGGAACACACCCGGGAGGGCCACTGAATGTAGAAACATGACATTAAACACTAGCACAGTGCGTGTCACGTAGCCAATGCTCCCGGAATCTTCCTCGCTGCTCTGCATCACAGGGGAGTGAGTGGTGGGAAGAGCCCGCTTTCCAGTCCTGCTTCCTCAGGAAGTGAGGCAGAGCAGTCACCAGGGCATGCCAAGTTGTACAGTTTTAGGATGGTTAAAATTTACAGATAGAAAAATCATGCATACTGACAGAAAAAAAACCTTTTCATTAAGACTTGTTTGTGCTACAGAAATGACCTTAATTTTGCATTTTTTCTGTAGCTATTTCCTTGCTAGGGTTTTACAGGATAAAGCAGAGTAGTAGTTCTACCCCTGGGTATATCTGACATGAAAATACCTGACAAAAGGTCAGAATCTAGGATCAAGAAGTTGAGTTCTGATCATTTGGCTATCTTATTATTTTGTAAAACCTTACAAGTGACAGGTTCCTCCAAAAGTCCTTGAAAATTATTAGGGCAATCCCAACTCATTTAGTAAAAAGCAGCAGCAAAATAGGGATTTGTTGGAGGAGCTCTTTGTGTTTCTCTGGCTATGCTGACACACCTTAAAAAACTGATCATTGGGTTATTAATTTGCTGAATCTGCTGCCACAAAAAGTTCTCTCCCCCTCTTTTTTTTTTTCTTTAAAAGAGATGAAGCCTAATTAAGTTGCCAGGCTGGTCCCCAACTCCTGGGCTCAACAATGCTCCTGCCTCAGTCTCCCAAGCAAGGGGGCACCAGGCACCAGCTCCAAGGCCCTGCCTGAATCTCATCCATTGATCTAAAAGCACAGAAGAGCCCTGCAGGGACGGGGGCTTTGTGGCCTTCTGTTAAATCCCCATGCACTTTTCTCCCCAGCTTAAATTTTTGGTAAAAATGTGGGGTTTTTTGGTCCTGGGAATTGAAGCCAAGGCACTGGGTATGTGAAGCACTCACCCTGCCAGTGAACTGCACCCCCAGATCCTTGACATGTCCCCTATGCAGAAATCATTAGGCAATGCAGAGTTGATTGTAATTTTCTTGTACAAAAAACATTGTTAGGTATTTTACTAAATAATATATAAACAAAAAATGCAAAAATATTTAATTTTTAAATTCAATAGCTATATTTGTATTTGTGTGACATCTATGTTTCCTATAAAGAAAAACTGTCATAAAGATATAAGGTTCAATTAAGAGTTTTGTGAAACTTTAACTTATTTCTAAGGTACTGTCTCCATTTCTTTTTCTTTTTCCTTCAGTACTGAGGACTGAACTCAGGACCTTGTGCTTACCAGGCAGGCAAGGCGCCACTGAGCTACATCCCGTCCCATCTTCATTTCTGTAGAGAGCTGACTCAAATCTTAATAGCATGGACTCTTTTTGCTTATAAGGTTTTAAAATTTGTTTTGTTAATGTTATAAGAATATTAGGAAAAAATAGCTGTTACAATTTAGAGTAAGCTGAATGATGCATCTGTTTCTATTCCAAGATGATCCTTTTTTAATGTTTTCTAAATCTTCTGAACGAATGCTTAGTCCTACTAAAGTTACTGTAGTGTCCTTGTTTGTTTTCTTTTTTGAGACAGGGTTTCACTATGTAGTTCAGGCTGGCCCCAACTCACAGCATTCCTCTTGCCTCAGCCTCGAGTGCTGGGATTACAGGAGTGCAACACCATACCTGGCTAGTGTTCTAATTCAGAGATTTAAAAAAATATGTCAATTCAACTACTTCTTAACTCAAAATTTGCTTAAGATTTTATATAGATTAACTTACCTCAAGAATGATAAAGGAACAATGCTGTATGTTCAGGAGAGAAAAGTTCAGTGATGACTATTTTTTATCTTTAAGCATAATATTTTAGGAAGTTAAAATTATTTTATATCTAATAAGTGAAAGGATTAAAACAATAGCCAATGCACCTCCCTGCTGCCTGCTCTCATTCAAGTACTGAAAGAAAATCAGGACAAGGAGAGAGTTGCTGAAGTATATACTTCAGATCTAAATAAAACATGAAAGACAAATACATACATACACATATACATATACATACATACATATATATATATATATGTATGTATATAGATATACTTTTTTTTTTGTTTTTTGGTACCGGGGATCAAACTCTGGACCTTGCACTTGCGAGGCAGGTGGCAGAACCACTGAGCTAAATCCCTGGCCCCAAATACATACATAACAAAGAATACAAAATTTTTTTTCGAGACAAGGTCTTGCTATGTAGATCAGGCAGGCCTCGAACTCACTATGTAGACCAATCTGGCCTCAAACTCACAGTGATCATCCTGCCTCAGCCTCCCAAGTGCTGGGATTAGAGCTCTATGCCACCATGCCTGGCTAATTTAATTTTAACAAGGCAAAGAGATCAGTTTTGACATGTGGTTGTGTTGGCTTAATTTTGAATGTTTCTTTTAGTTCTACCTGAAAATAGAAATGAAACCCCACAAGCTTTTTCTCTAACTGCTTCTCAACAGTACAATGACAGCAGAACCTGAAGCCTATGATGGTGCTGGAGTCCTCCATAGGCATAGGAAAGGTGTAGCTCTGCAAGTGTCTTGAGGAGAGAGAGAGAGCAAGAAAGGAGAAAAGAGAGAAGAGAGAGAGAAAGAAAATAAAGAATAAAAACTAATTTTCCAGCCAGGGAAATACTTATAAAACCTTTTATGTCAAAGTTAGGATTTCACAACATAATACACTAATGCAAAATCCAGTAGCACCTGTAAGATTTAAGTAAATGCTGCCATCACTTAAATGTTCTTAAATATCTGTGAAAGACTAAAGGAAAAAAGATGAAGTACATTCTCCAGAAAACAACAAATGTATTTCAAAATAAAAACTGTATTTTTGTTTTTCTTTTTTTCCAGCTTTTGTTTTTGTACAAGAATTCATAGTTATCATATAATAACTTATACACATTGGACTCAGTCTCCACTTTCCTCCTCCATGGTCACCAGGAGTCCGCGTATTCAGGCCGCCATCCCCAACACTGTGTTCTGATGAGCAGATCACCACATCTGATCTAGATATAGATATATATATATATAGTACTTGTCTCTGGGAAAAATCAGAATTTTAATATGCAAACATTTATTTATAATACAGAAATGGAAAATCTACAGTAGGCACACAATCTAATTATGACTTGTAGGCGATGATTTCTAGACACTGTCCTACTGTCAATGTATGTTTAAAATAGTCTCATAAGAAGGTTTTATTTATATGTGCACTTGTGTCCACCTTATCCCAAATACTGTACATGTCTGTGGACAATCTGGGACTTTGAAGGTGTAGCCCTCAAGAAGTTGTTATATTACTAAAAAGAAACAGGCTCTATTGGACAAGGAAAACCTCACAAAATTTCCAATTTTAAATTTCATATCAGTAGGAAAATATTAAAAATAATTTTCTGTATACACATGTGGGTAATGTATATATTGAATTACACATATGTCTCACATTATCAATACAATTCAAGTGGAAATATTTTGGTGAGTTATTTTCCCATTAAATGACCACCTTGTCAAAATTTTAAAATATTTTATTACACCATTAAAATAATTCACTTACCATTTCAATAGCTTACACTGTTTTTTTTTTAAGATTTAAAAAAAAATCTTCATAACTAAATTCCCTGATCCCTAGTGCTAGTCCCCTATTTAAATGAAAACCTGGGGCTCTTTGTCACTCAGAGACTCATGGATAAAATCACATCTACTTCAAAATTCTATCCATCAAATAAATTTTATTACCTGATTTATCAGAGAAATGCCTCCCCTCTGAGCATGTGTACCCAATTATTCTCCCTATTATAAATAGGTGAGGAGAATATCCTAAGATAGATGGAGGCAGCTTACAGGATGTTATAGCACACATAATACAAGATGACTAAGGGTCTGACAGAAACTGTTCAGACACCTGAAAGCTCATTCTAGAAACTAACTTTAGAAACAATCCATTTATTTTTCACTCCAATATAAATTAATATGTATGTATGTACATACACATAAATATAAAACAAAATGATCTAGTGCTGAGTAGCTATGAGTGAAAAATGCTTACAAATTGCTTAATTTGCTTCATTTTGTACTTAACAATTCAATCAGTTGGGGTACAAACAAAAAGTCAGTGCATTTATTGACTCCATAGAGCCAGATACTCAAGCGTACACTTCAAAAAGAACCTCCTAATCATGACAGGCATTGTACAGCAAGAATATATGTTTTTAAATGCATTTCCTATTCCATACACAGACCAGACAGCACTTGGCTTACTTTTAAAATAGCTTCATAAAAGAAATATATTATATAAAGAAATGCATATTTGTTAAAAGTCTTTTAAAATTACATCAAAACAACATTAAAACCTGCTCGCTGAGAAGAGCCTGTTAATGTAGATCCTGTGTGGAAAACGCCTAGTTAACAGTTCAGTATATTGCCGTGTGAGGTTTGAGGAAGGGTGTGGCTGATATGAAGGCCCAGAGCACATGACCGTCTCCCCTGCCATGGTCACAATTTAGACACAGTCCTCTGATCGGCTGTTTGATGTGAAGGAATCCCCTTGAAAATAGCTGTACACCTTAAAATTATCTATAATAAACAGTTCCCCAATAACCACTATTATTCTTAAATTGAAATGCATTGATCATTCAGAAAAGATTTCTTGCAAAATATATAAACAAATGTAACTGCATATTTTCTGTAAATATACTTAACATTGCTACACCAGCCTGTTAATGACAGGCTACTGTATTTCAGTTCTGTGTGTCAAATTTATTAGAAATTTAAAAACAAAAATTTCCGAGGGACTCAGCTGCCTTTTGTTAGTTGGCTTTAAAATGCATAATAAAATGGGAGACAATATCTTTTCATAAACACATGGAATCAATAAGGAAAAGTAAACTATACAACGGACAAGATTAGAGAACACCAGAGTGTACCAGAGTAGTCACCAGAGTGAAAAATCTTCCAGTACAAAAAAGGGAAGAACTCTATATACCCAGTTTAGTGTGTTTCAATAAAGATGCAGCTCTCTTCCTCCTGGCAAGAAGTAATTGGTCATGGCACTGCTTCTCACCAGTGCAAAAATATCCTGAGAAATTATTCAGATTACAACAAAAGACAGGGCTTTCATCACTAAGTTTTTGCACAAATCACAGCTCTAGATATCATAAATAAATTAATTTAAAAAGCAGATAATCTTCACTGTGAACACAAAAAGGGGATATGACCCAGACATTGTTAATTCTCCCATTGGCTAATATCAGGGGAAAAAAAGATTGCATTAAATGTCTACTTGTAACTTTCTAGTTAACTATGGCCAATAATGTACATGGAGGTAATTTGTAGTTCAAGTTTTTCATTTGTTTTTTTTTTCCCAACTAGCTACAAGCTAAATTCTAAAATTTACACTGAAATATACAATTCCAATTTTCAAAAGATCCTCCTCCTGGAGGAGTGATACTCAATTTTTGTGTGTGTGTGCAATCTTGATGCAGAGCCCAAATAGTCCTATGAAGAGAGATAGAGTATCTTTTAATCAATTGGCACTGAAATTTCATTTTCCTTAGCTGCATTCTAGTAGCTTGGCCAAGTTATCCCGTAATTCTGTTAGTTCAAATATCTTTCCATCCAGAATTTCTAAGAGCGTCTTCAGGTTATTGCGAAAAGCTTCCTGTTCATTCTGACTCTTCTCCAGACGTTGCTCCAAGTCAGACAGTTGTCCCTCCAGATCTTTGTTCCGAATTTCTACCTCCTTCAGAAACAAAGTAAAACACATACATATATGTAAGTTCGTCTCTTAGAAAACAGAATACCTTCTTTTTTGGGAGAGTCTCACTATATAGTTCAGCCTGACCTTGAACTTACTATGTAGTACAGGCTGACCTGTAACTCATGGCTATCTTCCTACCTTGACCTCTTGAGTGCTGGGATTACAGGTGTGTGCCACCATGCCTGGCTTCAGCATAACTTCTTGTTATTGAAAGCATCATGTATCAAGCCTGACAATCAACATGCACTTCTGATGTTCAACAACACAATTCAAGGAAATTTCAGATTAGCCCCTCAGAGTGTATGGTTTTATTGACTGGCTTCTTTGTGAATCTATCTATTCACCCAACAAAAAGTTACTGACTCATTCCTTCAAGTCAAGTAACATTTTCAGACAGGCTTCAGAGCCCAGACAGGCCTGAAGACCCATTGGGGAACTATTCATCTTTATTGTCCCCTACCTAGTTGGGTTAACAAACAGGATTTAGCAGGTCACCCTGTTAGCAAGCCCAGGTGAAAGCAAGCAGAGAAAAAGACAGAAATTAAATTTTTCTTCTTACCAGCAACTCTGGCAAAAGATTTAAAGAAGAAAGTAATTCTCTAAAATGAATTTATAGTATTCTCTAAACACATTACTTTGATATCAAATGAATCCTTAAGGATACAGTTCAACTGCTAAAAACTGTAGTGAAGGTATATAATAACTATATATAAAATACAAAAGGGAAGCAAAAACTCATGGTAACAAAAGGTCTTAAAAAATCTGAAACAGATTAAACTGGATAACCAATAGTCAGAAGTTTTTGTTTTTAGAAATGTTTCTAAGCATGACAAATGTGTCACAAAAATATAATAAATTGAGCTAACAATATTTTTCAGTTAAAAAGGAAATTTAAAAATGGCAGAAAATCAACTCTTACACTTTAACTATTCAGATAAGTAATGAATTGAGAGTCATGCATCCTTCTGGAAAGCTCACTTTTATATCTGAGAGGAATTAAGTGACTGACAGATTATATTCAAATATGTAAATTATATGGGACAATGAAAACATTTTGGTGTTATACAACATGACTCAGTCACAGAAAATAAGATGTTTAATACATTTAGATGTAATACATTTAGATGTAAATTTAATTTAATACATTTAGATGTAAATCTATTGAGTATAAAGGACAGTGCAAATTCCAGGAATTCTATTACTGAAAGACAAGAGGCTAACAGTTCCAGGACAGGAAGGAGGCAGGAAGCAGCTCCCCGAACCTGGGCAGAGCATGCGCTTCAGGATGGATGCAGAGAATGAGTGCACACAGGGAAAACAGTTACGGGGTTGGCATTAGGGCATTTCCACCCCCAACATTTATTTTTCTCAAAATATCTTCAAAAATTGAAGTTCTGAGAAAAATAATTAAAAAACTGACTTGAACACACTTAAGAAAGTAACAGCAAAAAAAAAAAAAAAAAAAAGAAAGAAAGAAAAGAAAAGAAACAGCTGATTCAGAGTTCTGAGCACAACCACATGGGTCGCCAAGGGTAATTATGAGCAACGCTTGAGCCTGGATGCCTTGTGAAATGCGAGAGCCTGGAAAAATCTAAGAAGGGAATAAAACAGCTATGCGATTTAAAAATGAAGAGTTTAAGAACCCAATCCAACCTCCGAGGATTTACTGAGATCTTAACCATGTATTTTTCTAATCTCTGAATAATCTGCAAGGTGAAGACAAGTAAACTGAGAATGGAATCTAAAATTAATAAAATATTTATCAATTCAGAAGCCAAACCCATAAAGGCTATAAACAGTTAAGGAAGAAACAGATGCTTTCATGAGATATAAAAATTCCACTCGTGACTGCACAGTGTGCTCTCTTGCTGCTTAAATAATAAGCTTAAGGGTAGAATGTTTCCAACTATAAAAATAGAGCAAATGTCACTCCCCAGCCACCACCCAGTTTGCTCTCCAAAGCTGCCTTATAAATGAAAGCCTCCCTTGTTCTCCGTGCCAATCAACAACACATCCAAACGTTTTCAGTGGAACCAAGGAAAACACAAAATTCCCACAGCTATTAAAATTGTACTATCATCTTAGGAATGAGTCTCCTCTAAGGTGTCTCTGCAGAAATTTTACTAGCTAGATAACAAAAGGGGTCCAAAGCAATGCTGATGGTACACATCTATTTCTGGGCAGGAAGAACATGTTTCTTTCTGGGCAGGAATGGACAATCTAGTGAGCAGGTGGTATCGCCAATGTCACTTACCAGTTTTCTAACCTGTGCCTGTATTTGCCAGTCCTCTCCTTCCTGCTTTTCTTTGTAAACTCATTCTTCTAATCACTCTTACTTTTGCCTATGAACTTCTTCTTTTCCCTTCCAATGTAAGACATGCCAGTGGCATGATTCAGACTCAATAAACCCTACAGAACAGAACAACTTCATTGCTTTTGGGTGATTTCAAGGGCTAAAATTGAAGTGTAAAACTGTACTGGGCAGAAAGTCATGTTTTGTATCTGTGAGATATGAAGAGTAACCCACTGGAGTGAAGAGTACTATGCAATTATGACCACTGTCAGTGGGACCAGATCACATTGATTTTCTCTAAATTTAAATCCTGCAACTTTTAATCTATATAAGTTATAAAAAACCTTTTTACAGGGCCAGGGGTTTAGCTCAGTGGTTCCGGCACCTGCCTCACAAGTGCAAGGTCCCGAGTTCAATCCCTAGTACCAAAAACAAAAACCAAAACCTCTTTATTGACATCTAATTCTGCTAAATTCTGAGTATGATTCACATCTTAAGTGCTCCTGGATTATTAATTGCCTCATTAGATTATTAGTCTTCAAGTATAATAGGATACATAAATCATCAAGTCAGGTATTAATAAATCATTTTTACCCAGAAAAACGGACAAAATACACACATATGCACTTTGACAAAGAACTGCTCAACAACTAGTTACTGAACATCTTCCATTACTAGCCTCTGAAGATAAAGCAGTAAATTAAACAAAGATGCTTCCTGTTTTAATACAGCATGAATTTTATTTTATTTTATTTTATTTTTTTGGTACCAGGGATTGAACTCAGAACCTTGCACTTTCGAGACATGCAGTGGAACCACTGAGCTAAATCCCTGGCCCGAGCATGAATTTTAGAAGGAAGACACTGGTAATAAAGAAGTAAACAGAAGAAATTTCTGGGATAAGCAAGGTAGTAGTGACTGTGTACTCTGAAGCCTACCAACCATCCTCCCCAACCATGTCAACACATAACAAGAATAAAATCTGCAAATTCCATAACTTTGATGTGAGTAGGAAACAGAGGATAACACTAAACTGCGATAACCATAAGAAAGAGAAAGACCACTGTGAATCCCGAAATACTGAAGAAAATAGCAGACTGTAAGAAAGTGCATGAAATGTGAAAGGCAATAGTGAAAAGGCAGAGGAGAATGTATGAGTGAAAGAAAAGCCTTTTGAAATAGATTAATAAAGGGGAAAAGAAACAAGGTAACTGAAGATCTGATGAGACAAAAGAGAATTAAAATACTGAAAGACACATAATATTTCACTGACCTCCTGTTTCCCCAAAAGAGGGTGTTTTAAACTACAAACCATCCCAAACTGCCATTCTATTCACAAAATGCAAGCCATTTCCAGCTAAAAAAACCCATGAAGAAAATGTAAAATATTCATGCATTTAAGTAGGTGAAAAAAAATCCACCCCTCAAACCAACTATGATGCAAAAAACCCCCTGAACATTCCAGTCTGAATCAAAATTCTCATAACCATTCAAAAGAGCTTGAATTAGGTATTTAATAAGAAACTAAGAATAGAAATGGGAAAAAACAAACTTTGGAAAAATGGAGTTGTATTAAACCCATGAGAGAAACAGAAGAAAAAGGTAAAAAATCACATCAGAAATTAAAGCTAAATTATAAGGTGCTTCTAAAAAATAGCTTTAAATAAAACTTTTAAATTCTCTTATTATTTAACTATTAGTTTTAAAAATTCAAAGATAATGAAAGTGAGATAAATGTAGGGAAAACATGTTGAACTACAATACAAGAAATAACAAGAAATATAAAAAAGGCAATCTAATGACATAATGGAAGCTGTTGAGGAAAAGAACACAATAGAACAGAATTAATATTTAAACCTTTTATACAAGAAAATCTGGAAATAAAGGGAGGCCTGAATGTATAAACTAAAAGCACCCATGGTGTACCTGAGAAAACTGATCCAACAGTGACTTCTGAGAAATATCCTAGTAAATCTAGCTTTATGTAAAAATAAAGGAAAAATCCTCAGAGCATATAAGCAAAATGAGCCCCAAACTTGAAAAGGCAAAAGAATTAGACTTAAATTAGACTTCTCAAAAGCAATACATAAAACAAGACAACAATGGAATGTCATTTTTGAGTGACTCCAAGAGAAAATTATGAGCCAAATTATCTTGCCAAGCTGTCATCCATGCACTGACCCCGTGGCTTGAACATGAAAGAACTTAGGAATACGCAGGGTGAACACCAACAAGAGGTCAAGCTTTCTCCAACAAAAAGTGTTTGGAAACTTCAGAAAAAGGACCAATGGGGAGTGCTGTGGTCTGAATATGATCCCTCCAAATCCAGGTGCTGCAACTCAATGGCTGATGTGCCCTAGAGATGGCCTTTCAGAGGCACTCAGACTCCTCCCTTCAGGCATGGGATTCAGCCTGGCAAAAGTGGCTTCACACAGCACTAGGCAGCACTCTCCTCAGGTGAGGACGCAGCCCGCCTCCTTCTGGGGGCAGCAGCAGGGTGGTCTGGAGCAGAAAGTGGATCTCACCAGACAACGGAGCCAGCTGGTGTTGATCTTGGACTTCCCAGTCTCCAGGACTGAGAAATATATTCTGTTCTTTATAAATTAACCAGCTGAAGTATTCTGTTACAGCAGCACAAATGGACTAAGACTGTGAGGATTAATATATTAATGAATATCGAAAACTAAAT